CGGTTCTCAGTTCCACTTTTAAAATTAATATGCTGCTCGATATCTTCTAGAACAGACCTAATAGCAGAATCTACTCACCCAAACTCTCCAGCGGCAGCCATTATTGTTGTCACCCAAGCGCGCTTTGGTCACGTGGTTGATAACGTTACTGTTGATCATCTGTCCATCATCATATAAAGCCCGCCCTGACAATTTGATTGGATCGCCAGAGGATGGGCGATCATACTCGCGCTACTATGGAGCAATGCCAGACCGAACTTCCCGACCTCAAACCTTGTGGGCGGGACTAAGTTCGGAATGGCACCCAGGCTATCACTATATGGCCCATTTACTGATTTAGTGCGTAATGCAAAACATTTTTTGATGTTGAGTAGGGCTGGATATTTTTGTCAAAGTCCTGAATTGATTTGATTTTGATTCATACAGTTCTAAATCGATTAATTTCAATTCGATCTGTTTTTACAATAATGAAATTGGTTCAACTGTGTTTCAAAATACTCGTGTTTTATTTTCCCTGTCATATTAAACACAAAGTGCAAACTGGTAAATCAGACAGTTTAAACTTCAGATGTGAAAGAAAACTGTCTGTGAAAAGTGAAAAGGTGAAGCCTCACTCGAGCGAGCAGACGTGACACAGCAGACATGCATGAGCTGCATTATTTTCACTGCAGAAACTATATTTGCAGCGTTGTCTGTAACAACTACAGGGTGTTTTCTGGTCGGCCCCCATGTCTTCAGTCAACCTATTGAGTACATTTGCAGCTATTTGGCTTGAAGTCATCTTGAGTGCATCTTTCCTGCTCATTTGAATGTGAGCGTCACGCGCGTCACTATGAAACTAATCGATCTCCTTACCTAGACATCGATTTGACAAAAATGTAAAGGAATCGATTCAATATCGATTAAATCGATTTTTTTTTTACCTAGCCCTAATGTTGAGAGGACCGCGACAACCAGTGGACCTCCGAGGCTAACCACAGCCAGGGCTAACCACAGCCCTTTGGAGGAGCCCTCTCACTTACTGCTGGTTCTGATGGCCATTTTTTTTCTTTATATTTGGCAAAACATTCATTTAATTTGTGTTTATCTGATGGTGTTAATTATTATTCCCCCACTAAATGAAAAAAGTTAATATTTATTATTATCTAAAGACTATTAATAACAGGAGGTGAAATTCAGCTCCAGACAAGCTGAGCGTGTGGTGATGTCATCAGTACGCTTCTGTTCTAATTGACCCATATCTATGCTGCGTGCTCCCGTTCTCCCAAAGTCTAGACGTTCCTGTGTTTTTGTCAAGAACATACTTGGCGAGGAGACAAGTCTGTACTCACGTTCTTGTGAATTGAGAAACAGCCTCTGTTTCTTCCATGGTTTCTCCTACCTATATATTCTCTACAGGCACTGATACTGCCTCCCAGCAAGAGTTCACCTCCTGTCTTAAAGAAACTCTCCGGGGCCTGGCGAAGAACGCAGACAACCTGCAGGTTGGTCCAGTCAGAGAGGAACGATTGTTCTAAGGTGGGTTAAATAAGCAGCAGTTTACATTCAAAGTGTCTGATCTTTATTCAGTCCTCTGGACTTGCTGGAGATGACCTGGTGAAAACTCTGGAAGGTTTGGGGCTCGACGAAGGGGGCGAAGGAGGGGGAGACGATGGGAATATCCTCCCCATCATGCAGTCCATCATGCAGAACCTCCTTTCTAAGGATGTCCTCTATCCTTCCCTCAAAGAGATCACCGCCAAGGTATGCCTGCTTTTTCAACTGCACATTTTGTAAAACCAGAAAATGAAAAAATATTTTTTTTGTATTTGTGGTGATTTTTGTGTTCCCCTCCAGTACCCAGAGTGGCTAGAAACAAACCGGTCAACCCTGAGCGCTGAGGATTACCAGCGTTACCAGCAGCAGGCTAAGGTCATGGGAGAGATCTGTAAGCTCTTTGAGAAGGAGGAAGAGGAGTCTGAAGATAAAGCGCGAACATTTGAGTGCATCATGGATCTGATGCAAAAGGTAAAGCTGTTCCATCCAAGGCTGAAATGGTTTTCACNCTAGCGCTAGCCTAGGCTAGCTACTCCTTGCTATCAGAAATAAAACCGTGTGAAACTGACAAGTGCTCAGTAGAAAAGTGCAGCAGAAGGTGCTATGTTTTAAAGTAGTCAGTTAGAGATATCACAGAGAAAATAACTTAACTTAGGGTGGAATTCCTCTGGACAGCTGCAACAGCTGCACACTCAGTTAATCCAAACAGGAACTTCAAAATGTTTAATTTCAGTTATAGTTTTAGTCTTTTATGTAATACAACTGGCATACCAGGGGCAAGACTGAAAATAAATAAAATCCCAGATAAGGTCAGACTTCAGCAGCTACATGGATGAGCTGATTGGTGTTCCTGTGATCTGCTGGCTTAATTGGAAAATTAAGGAAAATCTGGAAAATCTTATTACAGTTTCAATAAGTTTTTGTTTATTTTGTTCTAGTGGATAGACTTTAGACTTGATATAGATTCATTTCATCCAATCATTACTTCAGCAAATACATGCATGCATTGGGCGACTCATTAGTGCATTCAGCAGCCGTGCCTTTAGATCATGAGAGGTGCATGCATCCCTCCATTTACTCCATCTATGATTAACGTTTTCTTTGATATGTTCAGGGTTCCAGCGGGTCCTTAAAAAGTCTTAAAAGGCATTGAATTCTTCAAAATAAAACTAAGGCCTTAATTGGTATTAAAATGTCTTAAATCAGTTTTTCGTTGGTCTTAATTTTTAAAACATCATAAATAGGATTATTTTTATTACGATTTATTTGTGTAATCTAAATAAAACATTAAAATTGACAATTTTTTTTTTATAAAAAAATAAATAAATAATGGCTCACTATTATTGGTTTCATCCCGATAGCGGAACCAATAAAAGCGTTGTTGCGGCCGGGACATTTGGGAGATGTGCCATTAACTTTTTGTCTGGGAAATATGAGCAAGTGTAAATGTAACAAAAATTGGTTATCCACCGTTGTCTCTGCAACGCCTCCACTTATCACCAAATCAAACATACTTAGAAAACGATACAAAGAAAAATGGCTCCAAAAAAGACTTAGCACTGGTTATGTTG